CTAATCTCAGGTTTAGTCCCTAAATCCGTGGCTAGGCTAGGAGGATACTGGCTCCCACTCCAAAGCTCCCACTTCCCTTCACCTGAAGGCTAACTCTAGCTTTAATTCTTTAAACACTAAGACCGAATTTGAGATTTTAGTCTGTTACCATAAAATCTCCAATTATACACTCAACAATGTATATTTTCTTATTTATTTGCACTTAATTCCATGAACGAAATTCTCCTTCATGGAATCAAATGTGATCCTCACTCTGTTGTAGAACTCATACTCCATTTCTCGGAATATATGTTTCACAACAAATTTTAACAATTTAGAGTTGAAAAATCATCACAATTTATTTTATATTTTTAATATTGACACATCCATATTATCTTCATTTCATCATATCTCAGAGTAGAGAGAGATAAAGGAAACTACTCAGACTTCATGAGAAATATACAATAAAACACAAATTTTATATATAAAAAAAAATATATAAAAAAAATATATAAAAAAAAGTTCATACAACACTAATAAACAAACAATACTTATCTGAAACTCTTTCTCAAAGCAAATCCTTTGTATAAGAAGAAGAAATCTCTCACTTTTCTCCTTATCAATCACTCTTAGAAAAGAATTTATACTTAATCTCAACACAAAAACTTTAAATTCTTAAAGAAAAATCACTAATAGACTCGAAAATGGTGGTGGAATGAAGATAGAAAAGTGTATGGTGTGTAAGAGATTGAATTGAGACGAGGAATGACGAAAAAAGAGTGAATTTTCTGATCAATTTCGGCCCCAAATAGAGCCTAGAGTTGGTTCTCCAATAGGTACATCCAAAAACTTCAAAAAACGTTCAATTTCGTCGAATCTTCTAGAAACAGGGTCTGAACCGATATTGACGCCGTCTGAACCGATATTGACGCCGTCGACACCAGTGGTTCGCAATTTAATTCACTGCTCTATTTCAAATGGCGCCGTCGGCGCCCAGTCTAGCGCTAAACAAACTTTCAACTTATTCATTTTGACTCCAAATTTAATCATTTTTGCTTCAAATCCTAAAACTCAACAACCTGCAAGAAAACATGAAAAATACATTCCATTAAAGTGCAATATCACCAAAAATAAATACAAAATATGTGTAAAAATGCATATATTTTTTGTATATCAGGCTTCCCTCCATACATCTTCCCACCAGGAGTTAGCTGCGAAATTCCCACCAGGAGTTAGCTGCGAAATTATGTTGCAGACGACTTTGGGAATGTATATATGACTGATGGAAAAGCTCTGAACGTGGTGGAGATAGAAGACGTTGACATTGCACTCCCTAATAAGAGCAAATGAACTTTGCAAAAGGTCAGACACATTCCTGAGTTGAAGAAACACCTCATTTCTATTGGACAACTCAATGAGGATGGTCATTCAATAGTGTTCTCAGATAATACTTGAAAGATTACTAAAGAAATATTAATACTGGCTCAATGTAAGAAAACTGACAAACTATATATAACTATAGATTTACTCAATACTGTTGCTACTACAGTTGCAGAGAGCACGACAAATCTGCGACATTGCAAACTTGATCACACAAGTCAGAGCTATAAATAAATCTTGCAATAAGAGAATTCATGCAAGTGAGAGCTGACCAA